CCCAACCGCAGAGCTTACCCAGTTGGCTAAGGTACTGTTGGTATTTGATGAGGGTGAATTAGAGTCTGTTATAGCTACTCACTGGGAGCAAGTATTGGGAAAATAAAAAGCGACCCCCGGGATTCGAACCCACCGTCTAACTAACGATCTGATGACCGCGAGCTTAACCACTCAGCCGTCTCAGATATACTGCTTTTGACTGTTCATATTGAGATCATCAAATCATTGACCTTACTTCACAGAATGCGCTATGTAAAGACTGAGTGATTAAACGCTACAATAGTGCATCACGTAGCAAAAATACACGTACACACAACTAATGGTCGTCAACATTATATGTTCTCCCTGACAGCTTCTCCTTGGTAAATTAAATGCGCGCGCATCAATATGGGAAAGTCCCCGGACTGCCGTACGTCTGGACACATGTCTACATGTCAGAGCAATTTATAGTATTATGTGAATGACTGGCCATTTTTCCGGGGGGGGGGCTCTTCACTAGCAACAAATGACAGCGGAAGGCCTAGTTCTGCTAAAGAGCATGTCATAATGTGTGATGACCCGAACTGTGATTTAGTTCTTCAGATATGGAAGAGAGCCTCTTTGTAGCAAATCCCTTCTCTGTAAATAAGATTTACTTTAAAAGTGAGCACTATTCCTGTCATTTTTAATTCATTTTTAACATCGCAGACCTTAAGTTGTCGTATTTTCAGTTGTGTGAAATGTTGATGTCACTACATCAATGCTCTTATTCAAATTACATCGAGGCTTTCTTCTAGGGATAGCGTCACAGTTGCGCTCATGAATATGGGAATACCGTTAGCATGAAAAAGAATAGGCAATAAAACACCCTTTGAAAATAATGAAACAAAAGTTGAAAGTCAGGTTGAATGAGACATGCAGGTGCATTTTGAAGGTTTACATGAAAACAAATTAATCGTAGCTATCATTTAAATAAAAAGCTGCAAATTCAGATTGTCAAAACGTAACTTGGATAAAGATGCAAAATGGGATTGTTAATGAATATTCAAATTCCATTTCACATATGTCAGTCTGAGTACAAGCCAGTGTTGGACTAAAGAATTTGAACCTCGAGGCCAAGACTTTGACCCTCTTAATCCTCGGGGTCAAGGCCCTGCAGTGTAAAGTTACTACTACATCCACACAACATGTCACATCATAAAACATCGTGGCTCATGTTTCGTCGAATAGGTAGGTATTTTCAGTGCTGGTTTGCTCGTTATTTTATTACAGTGATATAACATCCTGTGATAGGTGACAAGTATACAGTGAGTTCTGCATGACTTGTGTAAGATAAGTTCACGGCGTGGAGAGTTAGGTAATTCTAATTAGCATAACATCAGTTTCCGTGCGCAGTATACTAAGAGATGTGATCTGCAGTCCACATCATAGATCAGATGATATTCTTCTATCCTGGCCAAAATTGTTGGGACTCGTATCAATGCAGACATAGTTACCCTCCCCAGGCCCCTAATCCCCGCGCATTGATACTCAATTATTAAGAGGGGGCCTGGAGTTGGGGGCCCAACGAGATTTGGCCAGGATTGCAGATTGCAGGAACAGCTCTGCTACAGTTAATTGCATATTCATGAAATAGTTTGACAGCTCTACAGTTGATTGGTCAATAGTAGTCAGGTGAAGATCCTGAAGTGGCTAAGTTTGCAATGGAATTCTATGCAGCAGTAAACATAACAGAAGCATGAAGGCGGCCGACAGGAAATTGTATTTCAAAGTTTACAGCAACGGCTTACTCAAAGGTATTAAATCTATGCATGTCCAAAGTACTTTAAACTACCTACTAAGAAATGTGGGAATAATTACTATTATCGCTTAATGAGAAAATGTCTTCATTCAGACAATACATATGCAAGTGGGAACACAAATATCAGAATTTCAAATGCACTGGACCTATCTACGGAGCAATTGTTGCCTTTAGAGAAAAACTCCTTGCTACAGAAGGCAAATGGTTCACAGTCTTTACTTTCAATGTCAAAGCTTGATTTATCATGGTAGAATCAGTAGCGAAACTTGGGGGGCCACAGGGGCCACGTGCCCCCCCAGAGGATGCCCCTGCCCCTGGTGCCCCCCCCAATCTGTGAACAAAAGCTATAGTAGCTACAGCGCATTTTCTTGTGGCGCCCCCTTGAAAAAAAAACATGTGCACGAAATTTATAACCAGTGTGCTGATGGGGTGTCGATATATAGGCCCTATGCTTTAAAAACGAGCGATTTAAATCATAATTTCAACGCATGTTCGTTGCTTTCAATAATCACACGCACCAGACTGAAATTCGTAAATAATTTCCAAAATTTCGTTTCATGGTAAAATCCAAACCGAAAAACATCTCACAAGCGGAATTCATTTGCCACTAACAATTGCTTTCACTAATCTCAAGCACCAGACTGAAATTCGAGAATAATTTCCAGAATTTTTTTGTTTCACAGTAAAATCCAAACCGACAAACATCTCACAAGCGGAATTCATTTGCCACTGACAATGCACATCCGAGGAAAAATTAATAGGAAAATATTCATCCAATATGGCCGTGGAACAACAGTCGGGCCTCCTCCTCAACTTCAAAGCCAGGAAACTATATTAAGGTATTCATTCCGCTTATGAACTGTATAGGGCATCCATCCCTAACAAGACGCGTTCAGTCCTCATCGCTCTGTATTTTACAGATGGTCCCCTTGCCTCCATCGAGGAGAACAACGTCACCTGAGACAAAAACACAAACAGAACCACTGAGAAACAGTGTCCACCACATTCGGGGTTTCGGGAGTGCGTAAGAGAGCAAGGGCATTTTTGTAAATACGAATCCGGAAGTGGCATAAAATAAGCAGGCTTACATGTCCCGAGAATGGAGTTGTAAGTGTCCCCGTCTTTCAATTTGGAGATTCCAATTTGACCTGAGCAAAGACACTTCTTTGTGGTCAACTCAGCAAGATCAATCATTTGAGGCGGCACTGAAGCCCTCCAACGCTTTTTGTGTCCAAAAAGGAAATTCTTAGAGTTGAACAAAACCTGTACACCTTAACCCTGGCTGAGCTGAGGGCAGAATTCACCCCTCAACATTTTCCCCAATATCTATGCAGTGCTTTTGTTTCAGAAGCCGAGCCTTCAATAGCTTTTGGAGTAACTCTTTACGGTCATTTTGATACCAACTTTGTGAAATTTGAAGCAACCTTTCTTCTGAAGCGCCAATTTTTCCGCGACATATTAGTGAAAAATGTAAACTTTTTCCACAGTGGTGCTCAATGCACGCGGGCTGGCACTTGGGTAGCTTTGAACCTTTAATGACCGTATCAACAAACCATTTATTTTATTGACTTCGTACTTGCAATGATAAGGAGTGTCTTTAAATGTCTGCCAAGTTTTAAAAGATCAGGCTTCTTACAGTTAAGTTCTTAGGGGGCGCAATCCGTCCCAACCGGCTGTGAGAGGGGTCAAAATAACCCCGCTCTTTTTGAGTTAACGATTTTGGTGACATTTGGTAGATGTAGTATACAGTGTACATGTATAATGTGGATAGAATAAGTAAGATAAATGCATGCTAAACGATCAAGATTACAAAACGTGAACACTTCATTGAAAAAAGTGGATTTTCGTTAATTTTTTTTATCCTTGACCAACCTGACTGGAAGACAACGGTAGCCCGCTGGACATTGACAACGCAAGGCAGGCCGTACTCACGAGCGACAACAGCACCTGAAACAAATCCGAGTAAAGTATTCCTCGTGACAATAACCACCTGAACAAATTGACTTCGGCACTGGGTGTGCAAAAGTAAAATCCCCAGTGCATCGAGGGCTTTGTTCCTGCCCTCTATAAATCAGAACGTGGAATTGTCTCCAAATGAAAGTCTAGAACTCCCAAAAGCAGCTTGATCTCAAACTGGCTCAAATAAGCCTAAAGCTTATAATGAATCTCTTGGCTTTCTCCACTCACCGTGAGACATGATTCCACCTATCTCTGTCACCAGACCCTTAATGAGAGGGAAGTATGGGCTCCAACCAATGTCTGTGATTCTTGTGACTAGAATATCTCCTCGCTAGATAGTGATAGAAAACACATACATATTGCAGTATAAACCAAAAACTGAATTAACTTCAGAGGAGGTGTTTATATTGAAGATGCATTGGACATGAATGCTTGCGCCAGCATTCTTCAACTTAACGCCTTCTGGGCTAGCTTGCATCCTTATCTCAACGGGCGTATTGAGTGCATGAAAGCGTCCCAGATGAAAGAATGCTCCATGGAATAAAACTGTGATATCATTAATGCCACCATTATCATGAAGGCAACAGTACCTTCAGAGTTATGTCCGCCGTCTTGCTTGGCCTTACTATTGAGTATAATTCTTGTTTTGCATTGCGTTGCGAGACTGATTGTAAAGTGTTTCCATCGGCGACCATATCTTCGCTTGCACATGGAGATAAGTGGAAATCTTAACTTCGGTTTTTCTTTTGGTTTGGTAAACGTGTCGGCAACACTGCCTTAGGAAATGTTTCCATTACACATGTACTGTAACTACTTTGTGATTTGTACATCCCAGCGTGCAACAATGTCTACGTATTTACGCTGATACAAGACCCATGTCTCCAGCGTTCGCTATGATATCACAGAGCAATTTAACTGCTTTCTGAAGATTGATAGTCATGTGTCAATGACTTCTACAATGGTACTATGGTATCACCTGTATGCTGGCCGCATCCTGCAGAGTTTTGACGACCCTGGCTGTGCTTTTTACAACCCCTGGACTGATGGGCAAACCTGAACGATCAAGCGTTATAGACAATTAGTAAATTACACATCAGTTTTGGAGCTTCTAATCTCTCATTAAGATGCAAGTAGTATTTAAACATTTCATAATACATGTAGCACCATGAGATTTTTCTATTGGATTATTCTGAAGCGCTCCGAAAAAGCTATATTACATTCGAAATATTTTCGAAGTTTTCAATACCTTGCAACTGAATTTCAGCACTGTCCGACTTTGCTTCTTCAGAAATCTGCGATAGAAAATGGTGTGCGTTCGTTAACATTTCAAACAAATGGGCCCGCCTAGACGAGAAGGACGTATCTGATGATTGATTGAATATCAATATAATAGGTTCCGAGGAATAATTGAGCATACATTACAATTTTATATTTGTGTTTAACTTTAATGTGTGCATGGGTAAGTGTGACGTTTAGTCTTGCTATAATTTTCCACTATGAACTGAAACGGCGAAATTCTTAAGGAGGAAAATTGGTCAGATATTTGCAGAATGTATTCCAATTATAGAAAGAAAACAGCTTTCTGATCTGCCAATGTTTTCGTGTGTTTTTTTCCTTTCGTTCTCACAATAACTGGCTTCTACACTTCTATTTCTATCAGCGCATGTAAGCATTTTCTGAATACTGGCGGGTGGTACCTGAGTATGATTTAAAAAGTTGAAATTTCCAAAGTTCTGAAACTGTACCTACCGGTTGCGGTATTCCATTGAAGATGAGCGGGAACCTGAACTGGTTCTGCTCGGGCAGGATACGACGCCTCCGTAGAGCCCTGGGTCAAGAGAAATTGGTCATTTTTTACCCTTTGCGCAATTTTGAATTACTTCCACTCTGCTCGTTTGAAACATCCACAGATACAATCGGGGTAGGTACAGCAAACAAACAGTACCCGAGAGTAAAATAACCTAACGATGCCATTAACACATACATGTATTTCATTCGACAGCTGTAGCGATATAGTTTCCCTATACGCCTCGATATACTAGACCTAATGCCAATACCATAGGGACTGTGGATGAGTGTGAAAGTTAGGATAAAGAACATGTAGCATTCCTTATTATATAAGATATAAGATATATGTAAGCCAGCCCCGAGGGGTTGGTGGAAAGGTAATCTGAAAATGAGCAAAGTTATGCAAACATCAGTAATTGTTGCAAAACTGGACAACGTCTTTAATCACTGGCTGCTCATCAAGGAATGCTTGAGACCGCCAAGGTGAACAAAGAGGGTGAAGTTCCATTTCCTGCTGGGTGCCTTAGCCAATCAGAAGGAAGTGACCATGGCAACTGGGTCACTGCCCAGCTGACCAACTGTACAGGCTAAAAGTGAGCATGTGCTAGCCACAAGAGCACAGGGAAAGTGCATGAGGCAAACATACGGGGAAAGACTATTTTTTTGGGGGGGGGGAATTTCCTAAAACTTTCTCTCAGCTTTCGGAGGGGCCCTACATACACGAGCAGCAACCTTATAGCAGTCAAGTTACCTGGAAACGAGAGCGGGTGATCTATACTTGAGTAAACGACCGATCTCGGTAGGTGTGAAGAAAAACAACAAATCCTCCTCAGGAAGGCGGCCCTGCATAACATGACAGACGAATGCAGACAAACGTAAAATCATCCACTCATAGCTAGCTGCAAAGGCTGTTTGTTTCACACAGATATCTGGATCGCAAATCAGTGGTCAAAAAGTTGGTGCATGCTGTGGGTTCTGCTGTCAGTGAACAAATTTCGGATCCGTGATCGCGATCCGGATCCGTGTGAAACGATCAGGCCTTTAAGTTTGTAAGACTTTTATACATTTAAGATGCATTACTATCCCGACGACTGCCATGACACATGCACATCAACTTGTCGTGCAGACATTTTGTATTATCCACGACTCACTTGCCTTTCTAACAGAATAGTATGTCACGCCATCAGTGTAGCATGGAATGTCTTTTTAGTCTGACGAAATACACTCTAACCGATGAGATCCTGTCATTTTAGATCCCTTTTCGTCGTTCCTGTCTATGTAAATAGTTGCTGAATACTCTATAAATTACTTGTAATCAATAAACGGTGTTACCTCTCTGACCATGAGTCTTGCAAGTCTCCAGTAAGCTTCCTTCTTGTGGTGATTCAGTCGTATTACCATAGACTAAAACCAAAAACAACATTATTTTCTAAAGTATTCAAATTTGCTTTGACCTCCTTCTTTAAAGTGTTTTAATTTTGAGAGATTAATTACCAGTTTTCAGCCTTTCACCTTTATTCTTGATACAAGTTTCTCACCTTACTATATTCTCGTTTGGCGACAGACTTGCGGGCCCAAGGAACGAGTAATTTGACCATTAGCAGCCTATTAAAAAATGAAAACTATTTCATTTGGCGTTTTACTCTAAATTATACTTGAACGAGTTTGTCAAACATGACTTATGATTAAATTTAACACCAAAAACATTAAACAAAGCTGTTCACGGGAATTCAAATGACAAACACGTCAGTACCATAAATACGAAAGTCGGATAGATTTACCTTACTATCTTCGAAAGGGGAACATTGAGTCGGGAGACAGCCTCCTCAGCACTCAGATACGTCTTGTTTGTGGATGTTGAGAGGGAACCAGACGCTAAAATAGCCTTTGAAACCACAAATTTGTGCATTTTGAGTTTCATTTACAAACAATTATTTCTCAATTTTAAATAATCCTGCACTAACTTATGAAATAATTTTGGACACACATTCGATATGCTTTCACAACATGCAAAGCTTAGTCCTTGGCGTAATCCAAAACCATCAGGTCAGCAAAATATTTCTCCTTCAAATTGTACTAAAACAAAAATTGAAATAACATTAAAGCTTTGGAGACTCTCTGTATACTAGCAGGACATGACGAGGCTAGTAATGCACAACACTCCAGACCAGACAATGACAAAAGCAAAAGCGACGAAAACTCTTAGGTTAAACGGTTTCCAACAGTGTAGAGTACGAAATTAAAGTCTTGCTAATCTGTTAATATGGGAGACACAAAAATTGCGTCGAGCGATCAGGAGGCTTCTACTGAGTAAACGTGAACTCAATTTTAATAACTTCTGGACAAAAGGGTAGTTTTTACCAAGCTGGTTTTTTTTCTGGAGTGGAAGATGGCATGTAAGAGGCTAAATTGCTATTTTTGATACATGTTTGAAATGGACTACAATTTTGGGCGATCTTTGGACAGCTTTCACGAAAGCATCAATGCAGTTGTTAATATGGACTCAAAGATCAAAGCATTTATAATTGTACCCCGTCTCCTTAAGTATTGGCTTCAAGTGGGGCAAAAATATTTATTAGAAAACAGTCAGGCATTTGCTTGGGTAACCTGTAAAATCGGTATTGTTTGGACTGGTTCCATCCCCCAGGATTTCTCTCGCATCTCAACCTGCAAATAAAAAAAGATAAAGGTATACGCAGTCATAGTAATTTATCAATGAAAAATGATATGACCTGCCCAGAGGGTACGTTGTTTGGGGATTTGGAATTATTAAAATTGGCACCGGTCAATGTATTTCATGGAAGTTTGCTTAGGCAGAGTTGGACTGGATGAATGTATGCGCTGTTTGGATGCACGAGTCCCAGAAGTTCATCTGCTGCTGACCTTTCCGTGTTATGGCTGTTACAGAGAAATCGGCCGGCAGAATTAGAGAGCCATTGATGCAAGGGTACCGTGATTGTGGATAGGTGATACACGAGCGCATTCTCAATTGCACGCGTGAGTCGGTGTGGTACCACCGCAGTTACAGCGTCTCATCGGACCAGTCCATGTCGTCACAGGTTTGTCACGGATATCGTTAAACTGATTGCCAAAGTATTGCAGCAGACTAGCACGATGTGACACATACGGTCGTGCACAATATGTGCATCGTGAAGACGTAAATGAAAGTTACGGTATTTGGCCAAAGTGGAAGTTATGTCGATATTTGAACACGACTTCTGCTGTCAATTCAAAATGTTTACTTCACTGCCTCATCATCTTGTGACACTAACTGCTGTATGAGTGGAGGTCGAAAGCAAAAAAAAGAACAAAAAACAAGAAAAAATGTTTTTCAGAGCTGACCTCCCTGATGCACCTATGTCCATGGACTTTCAAGAAGTCAGCGAAGGCAGTTCCGGCCGACCCACTGGAGGGAGACTGGATCCAAGCTAGTGCCTGCTCTGGAGCCATATTTTGGAAAGTGTCGCCCATCCCTTCGTGAACTATGGCCCGGCTAACTCTCTGTTCAAAGAAAATACGATACTTAATCTAAGTTTAAATCAACTAAATGTGAAAAAGATCTCGACAAGAACATGATGTACATTTTAGGGTCGTTTTCAACCACGCTTGGTGTGTACAGTGTGTTTTTGTGCAAAATATCATGTGACGCGAGATAAATATGTTTTCTTGGCTCGCTTGATTTGTTGATTATATATTCAGCAACCAAAAGTGTACAGTTAGGGTTATTTTTGCAACAGAGAACATTTTACCAGAATTTTCCCTGTAAGAACAGCCTATATTCCCAGGAAGAGAATTCCTTTACAGGATTCACATTCCAAAACTTTGATAGCGCGGTCTAGAATACATATTTTCACGTAGTATTATACTCCTTCAAAACAAAACAAAACAAAAGGAAACAAAAGATACACAAAACCTCAATGGCGAGAGGTACATCGGCACTCACGACCCCTGGGCACGAGGAGAGCAACATGGCGGCCTCAGCATTCGCATTTATAACTATGGAATGAAGTGAGATAGCAAAGATCACCATTGGGGGCAGAGATCACATGCAGCCTTTGTAACATCTCCAAGCTTAGTGTTTTTTTCTTGCAGGCGTTATCCTTGTAAATCTTTCTTTCGTTTTCAAACATTGCCCATCATATTTTAACGGTAGCCAAAGTTTGCAGAAAGTTCACCCTTTGTTGCCAACAACTTTTGCCTACAACTGTACATTTGCTTCTTGAGTATTGAAATGGTAGTACTTTCCTGTAAGTGTTTATTATTTAGTATCGTGATATAATTCATACGTGAGAACTTGTAAAACACTGTAAATTATTCTACGGTTTTGTGCTCACGGTCTGTCGTAATTTTGCCAACCTTGGCTTGCAAATGCAGCACTTGTGGCCGAGCATAATAAGATCTACAGCGTGTTTTGTGAATACATCTTCGAGTTTTGCCCTCACCGCACCAAATATTCTTGACGTATTTAATCGCCTGATGCTATACTGTAAAAAAAGGCGCTTAGAGTTTAATTACATTTCCAAACACTTTTTCTGTACCCATTTTTCACACGCGTTTCACCCACGACATGTTTAGACACTTGCACTGAAATGTGGTTAGGAATGTGTTTGAATACTGAGCGGATCTCGTAAAGCTGAAATATGAAACGTTTAACGTGTTAAAAAGCGGGCATAAATAGTGTTTAAACTCTAAACGCTGCTTTTAGAGTGTATTCCCATATTTTTTCTACACTCCTGTTATATTAAGCATTACTGCAACAAAAATCTGTATACATGTACTGAAGGTTTCTACACCCTACCCTTTGATGCTCTGCTAAGGATCCCGATGATGAACTGTCGGCTGGTTAAGGTCTTGCTGCCTTCATGGAGGTGGTACATCGTGCCCTGAAAAACGTTATAATCACACTCTTTAAAAAGAGAGCTGAAATTTCATTTCGACCAAAACGGCAGGGCCAGCGCCCGGCTTACTTAGCATGACTGACTAAATATATTTGCGGTATTAACTTTTCACAGTGTTTTCTCTGAATACGGAGGACATTCAGAGATATCCTTCACATCAGCATACACCTACATACCCTACACGGCGCCAATCAAAACTACACAATTATACATCTGCCTCACATAGTTCTGTGAGTTCAAATACAAGTTGGTCACTTCTTACCAGAGCAATTTCAGATTTCATATTCGCCATGATGTCATCAAACTGCTCTTGCGCAGTCGTCCAGTGCTTAGTCAGGGTATGCAAAACTCGGTCTAAGAGAGCTTCCAGATGTTGTCGACTCCCCCACCATTTCTGTGTCACAATGTTGTAAGCAGTAGGGTTTAACAATGAAGATAATATTTATTCCAGAATTTCGAAGTGCCCCAACTAGGATTTAAACCCAGGACCTTTGGTAGACTCGATCAAGTGCGCTACCACTGAGCTATCTACCCTCCCTCCAAATCAGAGTGACCATTCCACATGTTTTGCCCATTTCCTATCCGCACCAACCTGTCTTGTGGCCAACCGCTCCAATGGCGGTAAGAGATGGCCATGTGTGGGATTATTCAGCTTCGACGGGAGCTCACATAGCTTAGTGGTGGAACATTTGGTCGTTTATACCAAGGTTCCTGAGTTCAAATCCCATGCAGTCGGGGCACTGTGATTTTGCTAACATTAATTGCATTCTCTTGATTATTTCTGTACCAAATCAAGAAGAAAACAAGATATAAAGATGGGCATGATAAGAGGGCCCGAAGTGCAGATAAGCCCCGAAGATGCATTACTTTAAAACCCTAAATTACAAAATTACAGGAACGAGATCCATCAACCTGTTCGGAAATGTTACTCATAAATGTCAAATAATTTTTATCACTTGTGGCATTTTTGAGGTTTACATTAAAACGTGAACATAAAGATAAAAGAACAGAGATTCTGCTGTCGATCTCAGAATTACCATAATGGACTTGAGCGTGTTGAAGTGCAAGCGCCAACCAGGCAAAGGAGGACGGTGGTCTGAAACAATCCTGCAGGATTCATCTAGGTCTTTGTCTTCTACATTCTTTGAAGACAAGGAGGAGGTGGAAAGGTTAATTTAATTCTTGGTTTGAGACGGGGCTTGGTTGGAAATAAAGGTGAGGCAGGGGTGTGATTTTTTTATTTTCTTGATTCGATCTCACACTCTAAAAACTTCTGGGTCAGATTGACCCAGAATTGGATCCCATTCGGTATGACCCTTTCTGGGTCATAATTTGACCCGGAGAAAGGTTATACCGAATGGGACCAAATTCTAGGTCAATCTAACCCGGACGTTTTTAGAGTGCAGCTGGGTTTGGTTAGATGGGCTTGGCACGGTGGGGTTGGGTTGGCTTGGCTTGGCCGTAGCTTTTATGTTTTAATTAAAAAAATGTACAGGGTCACGTTTTATGTGATATTGGGGAGGGCTCATCGAAAAATATGTCTAAGCTCATGTGTTTCGCTTCTCTTGGATTTATTTTAACCATATAACCCGCCAAACTTTCTGACAGCTTTGTTTCAGCTGGTCTGCCTTCCGTTGATTAATTATGCATGTACACTCGATACGACGTGGATGTCTTTGTTTATGCACTCACTTTGCCGCTGATCGCAAGTCCCATATCTTTCGTTGTGAACATGCTGGCTCGTGTCGTACCATAAACCAGGTCCTGAAAGTGAAGCACTACAAAAATTGACCTAAAAATAATGAGATGCAGGTTGGCGTTGGGGACTTATAGAATATTTCTAGGAAGAGACAACTTTATATCATTTTGTGGAATCAACCACCTACCGTCAAGTTGAAGAATGCCTGGTTATAGAAAACGTAGACCGTTCTGAAGTTGGGTAGAATCACAGGCCTACCGAGTGTCAGCTGGTCCAGCTGGGTGGAGAGAAACGGTTAGGGGCCTAAGTTGCTTACTGTTTGCAGAGCAAGATTTGGATTTCTCAAACACGTCTCAGTAATTTTCTAAAACGTAATGGTTACATTGCTGTTTAATTACAAGAACTGCATGTCCAACTGTTTTGCTGATCATTGATTTCTTTCGTAGTAAAATCTTGTTGCTTTATCGAGTGGAGTAAAGGTTTGAGTAAAGGTTTAAGTATTTTCGGTCTACACTGGAGTCTTGGTTTCGGAAGGTTTTCTCGATGGGTGTGGTCAAGGTTTCCAGTAGCACAGCACTGTGTTTGTCCACAAACTCTCAACATGCATGGATCAAGCAAGACAGCTACGATTGCTTTTCCAAATGGCTTAATATTAAAAAAGCAGTCCACCTGAGATTGCTAAGCTTACCTGGAAACTGAGGTCACATTCCCAAAAGAAGTGAGTGAATGTCATTGGCGTAACGCTGCCAGGACACATCTCCCTGTGCACAGAAGGGGGGTTAAGGAGTACCAAAATGTTGTGGAGATCAGAGTATGACACTACCAAAGATTTCCCATGACGCTAAAAACCCGTTGCTTAGCCCTTTACCTACCATACGCTTTAGCTCGTATATCGCACTGCTTTTGTATGCACTCGTTCTAAACCACACCTGAGCCCATAATATCACGAAAGATTGTTCAGAGAATAATGGCGAAAACCGTTATCATTTGGCCAACGGCACTAACGTCTCGTGCAAAAAGGACGAACGAATACCAAAAACTGACGTAATTTTATAATTTTTAAAAACTCGGATACAACCAAAGAAACAACAAACTACAGTTTAAGGTAAAACGCGTTCTGCAAAATGTCCAATGGGACGACCAGTGCTATTTAGTCGAGGAAATTAAGTGACTTGACTTACTGCAAATTGCCTGTTGTGACGAGGACTCGATCGGTTGGTATGCCTGTATCAAACTCGTGTAGCAGCTCGTATCGGCCCGGTACATCGAACGTTGTTATAGCACGTGCCTGCAGGATGAATTCCATCCAATAGACAGTATTATTTTCTCAGTTCTCAAAACCTATGCTTGTAATAAAATGTGCACCTTTCCAAACAGAGGTCGCCAACGCTTCTGTTTAAAAAAACCCTTTTAAACCCTTAATTTAGTGTTCCGATAAATTGGTGTTATGATCCATGGAGTGCAATATGTTTTGACAAGAAAAGACAAATTACCTGAAGAAGGTATACAGTATCTCTCACCACTGCATATTCGATATCCCTGGCGTCGGCGAAATACTCATCCAACTGGAACAAAAGTCAAGGAGACAAACAGGTCTCATTAAACAGACATTAAACAAACCCTGAACATCCCAGTCACACCTTTCCTTTTTGACAGGATCCCTTCGGACCACTGCATCACCGCTTTGGTTTTCATCACCAGTTATGCACACCGCACAGCAGTGTTTAGCCTTTCCATATGCGCGTCAACACTCGGACAAGGCGTTGCGTATCCGTCAAAATCATTCCTGGAGCGATTTTGACGGTCGAACGCAACGCACACGTCTGTTGTGTTGATGGGGTCGATTTTCGCGTCCGTGAAAGTGAAACGCATGACCGCATCGTGTACGCAACGCACCCAAAAACGTACATATGGAAAGGTGCCCTTACCCACCACATGCCGACAGCCAATGATCAGGGTCTCTACTTTTATTGGGCTTCCGTCTGAATCATGTGACTTTCTTCGCGAACATCGCATCCGGTGGAATCGTATATGTTGCTAGTGGACCTTTCTTATGTGATATCGGATCCAGGTGAAAATGTATGCAAAAATATAACCTTTGAATGGGTGCACTCGCCAAGTGTATGGTCAGCGGACCAGTCCAGTTTTGGGCACGCGCACCAGGGGCGTAGCCACGGGGGGGGGGGCTGGGGGCACGTGCCCCCCACAAATTCCAGGTGCCCCTCCAAAAAAAACCAAAACCAAAAAATTGATGAATGGATTTTGAACAATGCTAACAAAAGCTTGCCCCCAAAATGTCACATCGCTGAAAGATGGTGCCCCCATAAGATGCCGTTGCACCCCCTTGTGTCCCCCTCATAAGAAAATTCTAGCTACGCCACTGACGCGAACACTTCTCTGTCTTTCCGATTGATCTCCATTATAGACTGGATAGGACATCGCGCATTGTTTGTGCACAACATGGCGGCGCTTCAGGAGAGTAGTGTGATGCTGTATGCATTTCTGGTCAACATAACCTTTTTCTCGTGGGATGATGGCTAAGCCCTCGGCCTCCCTCGCGAAACAAGCCAAAAATAAACAGAAAATGCAAAAATATTTCTGGAAACGACTGACCATTTTCTTATTAACTAACCCACTCGAAAGCGATAATGTAAACCTGTTTTTTGTGTGTTTTTAATTCAGTTTTGTTTACACCTACTGTCTACGGTCTCGCTTTAGCCTATTTCCCTTTGGGTCGGTTCAGTCGTGATTTGTTCAGTGTGTAAACCAGGACATGTAATAGGTTTTGACAGTAAATATGAGGTCCAAACTGTCCATGTGTCTTTCTGTCTGGTTTCAATGAGCCAACACTGAAAACATCATAAATAAAAGGATTTAAATTTTACACACTCTCAGGAAAAATTGTTCATTCATATATTGAGTAAATTTTATTGAAAACCGACATGCGGCATACGGAAGTGTAAGAATATTTTCTGTGAGCACAAAGTGAGCGCAGCTTTAAATGAGCGACCAAACTAACTTACTGCCGTTTTTAAAACAGACACTTCTTAATCAGCTTAAAAAAATTAACTTCACAACCGGACTCAAAGATTAACATTTATCAACTACTTTCCGGCATGAAAAAGTCAGTTTTAACTGAGAACAAATAATTTTGTTATGTAGACAAAGTTTCTTTCATGGCGTTGACTTTGAATTCCCTTGTTTGTAACTTCATTCAACAGAAACGTCAGCACTCTGCTTCTCACTTTGGTTTCATCTCTGCCCCGACGAAGAATTCTGTCACTCATATCACATCGTCTGTCACACGATTTGGGTTCAGTGCGTCTTTAGATCCGACAAACACAGTCATGGCTGTCTTGGAGATTTTCCGGTGAAATGTGGGGAATATAAACGACAAATTAGTCATTCAGTTTTTGAAACCACTTTTGCCAATAAGTAACATTTCAGACGGTCCCAACTTCGAGATAGAGAAGTTTCATACATAGGCCTACAAAGCCTGATAGGCTAGATGGACTGTCATAAATTTCTTACTAAGCCCACACAGGCTTAAAGTTAAGCATTATAAAGTACAACTTGAGAAACCTTCTGAACAGGGACTCACACCTCCTTCTTTTCCTTCTTTCAAACTATACGTTGATCTCAAGTAATTCACTGCTCAACCATTATTCTTTCCAAATTTATCCATTCCAAGTGCAGAATTCAGTTTTTCTTCGAAATCTGACAATTGAAACACAAAAGCTCAACCGGTTGTTGAAAAACTTGATTTGAAAGTACACGCAACAAAATTCGCAACTCTCGTCATTTACCCTCCTGAAAATACGCATACGCAGGATGCGTTTTGGACGCGCCTATCCAGTCTATATGATGGAGATCACTGGTCTTTCCTTACGCTAGCCCGGAAATCGGAATGTTGTATAGAATAGGCTTGCGTTGAGGGCAGTACTAATCTTTCCGACGTATCCAATGCATGGACAGTTTGCGCGTCGAAATTCAACCCATAGAAAGAACAAAATGATATGCCAAAATGTCAACCGTCTTGCTTAGCTCTCGACTGTTGGCTTACCATAAGCGCAATGCGGCCGAGCTTCAAACACGTGTCATCTGAGAGTGCACATCTGATAGACTCAGCCGAGGGCAGTGACGTCACTTTGGTGCCCCCTTCGTCTAGATCAAAGCCGTTCGAAGAATATGGAAAGAGATATCTGTTAGATGTGTAAAATCCCTCTAGAGTGGCACGCTTATTTCTTCAACAGCTGATTCAGTGTCTGAAACCCTTTCACGCATTTAAAATCACTGAGGTGAAATGGGCATTTCACTGCCCTTTCATATTGGGCCAGTGCATGGTAGACCATTGGTATTGTCAATAGCAAAAACCCTAGGGTGAAGCTTTCAATAAACAACGAGCTAGGGGGCGCTATATTCGGACACATTTTGGTGGCAAATGAGACTGGATATAGCGCGACATTAGTTTGCCATGTGTAACGATGTAACCGAACTCACCTCCTACGAATATCGCTTCTTCTTTCCTCCCTATCTTCTTCTCGCTTATCGTTAAGCCCTTCTGGTCGTCCACCGTCAGTGTGATGGTATCGGCTTCGCTCACACCGGCAACCACGGACTGAAATAATGATAAATGATTATTACAAATCTCTGTCTTGATTGTGCGTACCCTTAGCCTCGTCCGGCGTTCACGATTATGGATGTGCGTTGACTACCTGTGTTGGAGAATGTGGGCAATTTGTGGCCATAAAAAAAAAGACACCGCCAATTTCTGAATAGCCGTTTTTAGTTCTTTTGGAGTTTTGATGGGCCATTTTGGATTAAACTCGTAATGAATTTTCCTGAATTTTCTTGACTTTTCCGTGTCAGGACGCCCTTCGATTAAAGTAGGGGTGAGGGTACTTTTGAGTTAGGCATACAACAAACATTCACACAAAGAAACTCGACCCGAGGCTACATTCACGATACTATAGAATAGCACCTTCTTCCCACTATTTGTTTACATCAGAGGTGGTTCTGCATAACGGTTGACTGACTGAAAGACGGCATGCTTGGACGCCAAGAGAACACCTACCTCACCAAGTCCGAAGTTTGCGTTGATGACAATCTGTGCTGGGTTTCCAGTGATGGGATCTCGACTGAACACCACACCTGCAGGATATAGATACAGTATATTAACGCCGATTTGGAGCATGCAGAGATGAATGGATCATGCGAAGATCATTGGATAGACATGCATTGATCTCCCAAGGAACTGACATCAATCTACACATGACAGATTAAGGCAATACAAATACAGCACAAACTATGTTGTCTGTCATGTCTTCCCACTTTGGCGGGAGAAATAGATTTGTCGATGAGAATATGAACTGGCAACCTCTTAGCAGCAGAGTGCCACACTTTACAACCGTGCATTTCGTTGTGCAAGGCGTCAAAGTCTCCACCCCATCGACTTTCCCCCCTAATTTTGTCCAAATTTCAATTTTATAGCACACCTGCACTTCCGGCGGGAACTACTTCTTGCACCACCACCGCCATGGAGGATTCCACAGGTTGGCCGTACTGTCTGGAATGTGGGAGAAAAGACAGATAGATATTTCCACCAGAAACATGGGGACGGATGGTTAAGGAAAGCGTTCGCGCAAGGAACTGCCAAGCTTCGACTTGCTCAGAAAACAATGTGCATTTAATTAAAAAGACCCAAAAGCAGGTCCCTCAGTTTTCTCTACCTAAAATCCCATACCTATAATGTCAACGTGACTCCTGCAGTAACTTCTGACCTCAAACGTTTTCAAAGACTGATACCCTTCATATCATCTTTATTTAATTACGTTACATAACTGAGAAATCGTGACAGGAAAAGTTGGTTTTCACCTTCGATACTGGACGGCCTGGAAGGAAAACTGTGATGCCCAACACTTTTGCACCGCCGTGAGAATCTGAAGTTTAATGAGACATGGGGTCATTTTGCAGTTTTGAGAGAAGAACTACATCTTCCAAAAAATATAATTTGGCGGTTTAAAACTTTTCTAGTTGCAAGGGCTCTTGAAGCCTCATTGTTTGGGGCGCATGCTAGATTTACTCCAATTAAAACAAATAAAAAACTTCTTTTATAGTTTTTCTTAAAATTTCAAGCGGGAGGCACACCAGCCTTGAAAGGTGAGGAGCGCCCTTGTTGCGTGCCATTATGGAACACCTTAAACTTTCCTGTATGAATTACTTGGCAGGGAATTATCCCCCAGAAAATTCCAACCAGGTCTAGACATCAATCACTCTGCGTTTGAGTTAACTATAATGCAAGCCAGAGCTGTGGTTTGTACTTTATCCATTGAGTCCATGCCGAGGTAGGTCTCCATTTGTCCCGCCGCTGACATCTGAGGGGTATCTTCGCCTTAAAAGGAAAATAATTGGTGAACAGTTAACGCAAATATTTTGAAAGACAAGAAAAGGAAATGCCGAAATATAAGAGTAAAATGTCTTCAGTTAGGCTAACCACAAAAGGATCTCAACTCATATTTATTAGGCTGCATTTTTGAATAATGCATTATGTTTTTCATAATCATTTGGGCAATATAAATCAATAATATGCACAGATTATAATACTGTAAAATTCTAAGACTTTTTCCCCCTTTCATACTCCTAAGTGGAAAATTAGAGAAAACGCTTTAGAAATGTGCTCTCAGGTGGCTCCGTACCGACTGCCGACGATCTCACGGCATACGACTGACCATCCGTGGGACTTCCTAGGACTTCACGAAATTGGTGGGAAATCTCCATCTTCATGTCGTCAGCCAACTCGGTTTCGCCGAACACTGCTACAGTGCTAACGAGTCGAACACAACAATAGATTATTTTTCGCTGATCTATTTGTTGTTGATTAAAATGTCACTACATGTAGTTATTTTGGTCATAAAGCAAGTTCGGACTCAAGTGGAAGTCGGATCTTAGGAGCATGTAAAAGGAATTTTTAAAAATTAACTGCTGGCCTTGCAATTTCTAAGACATGTCGTAAGTGTTCTGATTATGGGTGTTTTGTTTTTTCTGTTAATCATTTGCTTAATAAGAACGTTGTCAGTGCTACCTGTCACATGATGTCTTCAAATCGCCATCTTGTATCCCACAAGACACCTCGCTCAGTGTCTTAATGGCGGTTTGCAATTTCTCATGAAGCTAAAAGGGAACCAGAAAGAAACACAAAACACAGATAAAGGTTGGTGTAACTAAATCGGCAACCAGGGAATGAAGCCTTGTATAAACTTTGTTGGACTTGTGGTGCATTTTATGACGTTTTCTCGATAAATACCATCCGCGATTAATTCATCCAATGGAAACAGAACACACAAATAAAGGCTGGTGTATCTATACAACCGGGGAATGAAGCCACGCGTGCAATTCACAGTGTTTGGAGGAATTTTGATGCTGCTTTTATGAAGCATATTTTCTTTAGATTGATGCCATCTGTAATTAATTTACCCTACGTTGAGAATTAGTTTGCTCTATAATAAGAAATTTCAAATATACCTGAAGATGCCGGTTGAATGCTGTTGTCGTAACGCAAACTCCGTTGGGAACTTCAAACTGTTTGAGCAAACAACAAAATTGCGGCGCGCAATTGAAAAGCAATGTAAAGTAGCCACATAGCAGGTACTCCAATCATGTTGGTCAAGGTTGCAAAATATTTATTTTGCACCTGGAACGAATTTTAATAAACGGTAAATGAAAATGCTCTGCAAGTTTCTCCATGCTGAGTGCTAGTAACAGGCTGTGAGCTACATGGATAGGTCTATAAAAAAAGTGATTTTTCTCCCACACGACACCATATCAAAGGGGCCCGATGACAACTAATTAAGCCTCGGTTGAACATTTTATAAAATATAATGTTGCATATTTCATTGTTGATGGGTTAATCAAAGCCCATGCACATTCCGTATGCACGTGTTATGTTATGCGCGCAGTCTGCGTGACAACTTCTAGGGCTCGAAAAAAATATGAGGTTGCCGGTCCTTGCCGGAGTAGGCCTACGGGGAAGTACGCATGAGTGGAATAATCTTTATTTCGTCCATTCATTTGTTGTATTTTTTGTCATGTAGGCCAAAAACATAGCCTTGGAAATGAATATTAGACAGAAACACTTCCTACCTCGACATCCCTCTGTTTGGTGAGTTCAATCAACATTGCAAGTTGTGAGCCCTTGCCTCCTGTCAGCGACGAAAGGCGACAGGAGGACGCCGCCAACGGCAGAACCCAGGAAGCTAAATCATCTGCAGAGAGGTTCTCTGATCATCATCATCATCACAAAAAGATAAAATAAAACAAAAAAATTCAAAAACACGTACTGTCGGTGAAACTCGAAATTTTGGGAGCTGATAAGCCAGAGATAAACACCGTAATACATATGTGCAGGTTGCCCTGGGTGATTTGGACAAGTTTTCAATCTGCAAGGGATGTCCAATGAACCTCATCAGAGAGAGTTTTGTTTTCAAACGAAAAATTACTTGTTGCCTTCATATCAAAACCCACCTTTGATTCTGTACATTAAATTGTAAACATTACCAACCTGGCTCCTTGTAGAGTTTAAGCGTGTCTTGGGGAGAGATACGGCAGTTTTCGTTAGATCTATAAGATAAGTCGAAATTACTTGAATCAATACTTGAATTTTCCATTGGATATAATAACCTTTTTAGGTGTATCGAAAAGTGACAATAGAATGTTGTTTGTAGAAAACAGGATCTTTCCTTAAGAACACTGCGAACGATATAACTGTTCTCAAGTGAGAATGCACAATGACATTTTTCAAGATATAGTTTTAAAAATCAAGGCAGTTTCCAGCCAATGCGGCTCATCAGGCCGGTATTACGTGTCACGGTCTCATTTTTCCAGCATGCTCAGATATCTGGAAGAAGGCGGCGGATAGTCGTACACCTATGCATACGCTCGGGGTCTGGTTTCGCATTTGGCAAAGTAGACGGAGAAGACTGGAAGGTTGTTTGATCCACATAGTCTAAATATCAGAGCTGAAGGAGGTGGTGTAATTTTCAGTACTTCCAGTAAACACAATTAATACACATAATCTATGCTCTATTACTTTGACTGAATTGCCACAACAAAGAGCAGGTGCTTTCACTGTGCCTTGCAAATACCGCCGTCATAATTGGATATAGAGCAAGATAGTTACACCTCCAGAACTGCATGGAGGGTCTGTTATCCGCAGCGCTCAGACAACGGACGATGACAGACCCCACAGTTCTTGGGGTACTTTTACACGTCAAAGTGTTGGGATGTGATAAATGTATATTTGTTTCGATGATCAATCTGTCGGAAATGGGAGTTGCAAATGCCGGAACGGGCCTTTTTCGGATGTTTTCCAGCTTGCACACCCGCCTGTGCGTAAGGGTACGCCTGCAAAGGGTCTATGCGCCGCCATCCCGTCTGCTGTAGGAACTCAGCACACCCATAATGTGAACTAAACGGAATTTACTGCGTGACGCAATTCGGGTTGCTCGGCGGTGTTCGGCTACTACCCAGAAATCCGAGCACACCGGAAAAATGAGACCGTTACACCGGTTTCCTTGGCATGCATCAAGAAAGAATATCTCTTTCCCTGGATGGGATGCCAGTCCCAGCAAGTTAGGTACCACCAATGTACACCTCTGGGTGCCAAGAGGCCAATACAGTGGCTTACCCAAGCCACAGACTACATATAGTCCGTATTTAATCAAACGTCTGGTCACACAAGATGTTCATCACCGCGCACAATGTGTTCAAGCAATGTTCAGCAGTTTTATTCCTCGGGTCAACTGCTGTTGAATTATCAAATAATATTGAGTTTATTCCGTGGAATGTAATAAGCCTTTTAAGACCTAGCTGACAAAGACTAATGGACAGAGGCAAAAATATCTTTACCTTTTGTTGTAATCTTTGTTTTCTACCCTCCTCCGGTGAGTAGAAAAAAGTGTTTGGGATACCGCACTGATATTATGAAGAGTATACCTGATCATCGTTTGGCAGACTCCCTGACCAGTCACGCCGTTGGCCCGGTAGCTAGTCAGGGCCACACACACTGCCAACTTCTGCTCTCTTTCCACGTCCAGGTGCAGTTGCTCCCCTATCTCGGCTTGTATCTTAACGGTGAAGTTGCCTGTGACAGAGAATGCATGCATATCAAGGCTCCGGTCAAAATTCGTCTTCAGTGACAGAGACAGCAAAACTGGAACCCTATTTTATTTAGGCCTGAACCAATACGGTCCTACCAACAGGCCACGTTCTCTTAAATCGGAGAGAGGAATTTCACGAAAACACCCGCTCTAAGGGGGAGACAGACAACAGACTAAAAATCATCCTAACGCTTGACTGAGAAAAGATGAAAAGATGTCTCGTTCCTTGTCTCCTTCCAATTGTTTGATGTTTCTTCAGGAAAGGCAAACTTTCCTCACACACAAAAGAGGACATACAATATTATCATAACCTGAAAAACCTCAAGTTCTAAAATCAGACATCCGAACGGCTCCATTCATGTTATTCATTCCTAACAAAGATTTGGAGGTTTACACCGTACAGGATTCTGTAAAGGGGAAATAAACCGTTATCGAAGAATACAGACCCGAACAAAGTCTGAAGGTATCACCCTTAAATATCGACAAAACAATTTCTTTCACAATTCGTTCAAGTTTTCGCTAATTTTAGAACTTTGGTTTGTCCTCCGCCAGTGCAGTTTCTGACGTACTTTGCAGAAATCGCTATACTTTTCGTATTCATTTGTAAATAAATTTACTCATACTGCTCATTTGGGTAAAGGTGAAACCCTTGACCACATGGTGTCGATGTGCTATACTCGACACCATGTATACCAAGTCCATCAGCAAGCGGGTTAATTGTTGCCTTCTACTTGATTTCATTTGTTCGACCGTCTTTTGGATAAGGATACATTTCCCCACAAAGGGCATCGAAGTTCCCAGTGCATTTCTTCGTAAAGTGAATAAACAACTCTTCAAGTTCACGTTTACGAGATGGGAAAAGGAAACTGAGCCAGAAGCTTTAATACGCCTACTTTCGAACCGCACACTAAATGAGAAAGTCTTGGGCAGCTGGTTGTTGGCCTTGTCAAACAGTCTACGAACGGAGAGATCCACGGACACAGCTGGAAATATTGCCCCGTTGGGCTTGGTCATGTAACCAGAGAATACACTGTCAGAAAAGAGAAATAATTTATTAATAGTTTATAAACATCTTGGATTCATAACTTCAAATATTGTTTCTGTGATCCACATCACATTTTTATAAAGATTTTCAAGAAGAGGAAACTATCGACGCTGTACTTAGTGCACTTCCAAATTAATTACATTTCTTCAGAATATTTCGTGGACAATGAGAAAATTCTGACCTTGAGTCCTCCTGACAATATCCACCGACATGTAGACACGTCCCATCCTATTTATGAAAAGTAGGGATAGGGTACATTTTATGGTTAGTAGTGTGGAGAATACATGCAGACAACATGATGTCCACAAATATGTTTAGCCTAGAAGTACGGTGTCGTACCACTAATAACGGAAGTGGACGTCGCATTGCAAGAAAGGATGCAGTTCTGTCCAGGGTTCAAAGTAGTAGCAGACTTGCAAACCGTCAGCAGCGTTGGAAGGGAAAGTCAATTCCGAGACACTCTATGGATAGTTCTCCATTTTTACTTCATTTCCCTTCTCTTTTCTTTCTACCATTTTCTTATCTTCCACATTTCTATTTCCCATGGGGCCAAGCAACCAACAAATCTGTCACCAACCCGTTTGCCCGTCCAACCTGATCTGACAAATACCCTAACCATGCTTGGTGGAGTAAGTCAGGATGTCGTGTCGCGTGGTCGAGGTTAGAACCCACCTCAAGTACCATGTGGTTGACGATGTGTCGCTCGGCCTTTTCCTGCTGTGTTCCGGAGGAATGCGATTTCACACCGCGCATGACTACTGTCTTCTCGTCTTGACCGCTGACCTGGATCACGCCATGGATCATACCAAATTGCTCATTATGATAATGGTGTTGATTATCCCTGTGAGAACAACCGGCAAAAACATCCAAAGGTTCAATAGAACAAATGATAACCAGCAAAATATCCAGCTCGTGTATCAAAACTATTGCATGTCCTTAACCCCCCTTCTAGTCAGGGTAAACTTTACTCATTATCAGTCAAACAAAATTCCAGTAGTTGGCAACTTTTTCGCTGCATTCTGGCCGTGTTGTTTAGATTTTGAATCAAGTCGTTGGACAGTCGTGTATCTTCAGCGCATGCGGGCTAAACTTGGACGGTTGCCGACTTGAATTTAAGTCTACCACCAGTTTTTATTCTTTGAGCTCGAGAAAAATGTAGCATTTGTGAACAATGGTTTCCAGATATGCCTGAAGTAGTGTATGCGAAACGAAAGAGAAAATGTAAGAATGGAAAGCCTAAATGATTTTCAAGACTGCGTCGGATGAACTTTGGTCGAACGAAATCATATCGAGTACAATAAGTGTGTATAAGAAAAACAAAAAGTCATTTGATAGAGTTTGCTTTATAAGTCAATGTACTGCTTCACAGTTAGAGTCCAATTTAAAAAGCTATATTTATAAATATATTATTGTCCTAACAAAAGATTTTCTTTAATGGAGACATCAAGAAAAAAGGCGTATTGCTCTTGTTTCTTAAAAATGTTTTACAGTATGGTTAATAAAAATTGTCAGTAATGAAGAACTGAAAAAAATAATGACGCAAAACATGGAAGGGAAACTGAACGTAAAAGTTTTAATAATTAATATTAATAGCAGACACTAATGTGCGAGTACGAAATACCCTCTGTTTGGTTGTGCTATGTAAATACTTTTTGATATTGGTAATCACGGAGTGTTCAAATATACCTATACATAGACTCCATCATTCCGCTCTCTGGCACTTTCGCCAGATTCTCGGCGGCCAATCGAGGGTGGACATCGGTAGAGAAGTCGAAGTAAGAGGTGAAAGCACTCCACCTGTTAAACAGAGAATATTGGGAGACATGGTAAAGGCACTGTCACAAATACAAACGATTTTTGTCAGGTAAACATTTTTGAAAACTGCAACTTTTGAGAGCGTTCAGCGATGATGCTGTGAATAAAACTTTTTTTTTCTGCACCAGTGGTAACAGTGTGGTCAGTAGCAATAACACACACAGGGTAAAGCATCCCGTTACAGTAGCGAAATGTTGTTTATGTTAGGTGATTTTTGAGACCTTCATGTAAGGCTGATAACCGAGTAAATGTTGAGCATTTTCACTTTTTTCATTCTTTACCGCTTCATTTTTACTGTTTTGTCCTACTCAACTAATTTTCAAATTGGAATAGATTTCAGTAATTCCTGTTTGACTAATGGCTCAAAGAATTTGGACGTGAAAAGCCTCATACTAACAAACAGCAAGTGTATAGTAAGCCTGGTTTCCATACCGACGTGAGAATAGTAGAGAGCAGCGCCATCAAGACGCAAACTGCAACACAGACAAATGGGAACATGTCAAACGGAATGATTGCCGCTAACGCAAACCTGCAGCCTCAGACGGATCGGCAAAGTTGAGCGCGATTCAACTTTGCCGACTGTCTACGTGAAGTCGTTGAGTGGGCCGATATAAACACGCTCGTTGGGATGACCGGCGTACAACGATGTTGCTCTCGCTTAGTACCACTCATTTTATCCATATCCTCCTAATTGCTAGCATATGTATCCCCAATCGTCAATAAAATAGCAGACCATACATCCAACTAGAGTATCAGTTTGGCTTCAAGAGGCAGCCTTGCCACCAAGTACTCTGCAGCACCTAAGTATTCTGAGTTTCGCACGCCATTTTGTTCTATTTTGTTGGTGGAATGACGTCGAACAGCGTCTCTTCCGTGAATGTCTAGGTCTTGACGTCTTGCGGACCGTCGGCGTTACAAACGTCCATATGGAAACCAGGTGTTACATGGTCAGAGATTCGGCACCCCTGCAGCTACTGGGCCAGTGGAAATGCGCAGCTGTCGATGATCATTTCAAGGAAATTGCTTGCGTTAATTAAGACAAGAGATATTCAGTTATTCAATCCGGCTGCCTAACTGATAAAGCTGCAAGGCAAAAAAAAAAAAAAAAAAAAATTGGCAAGAATTGAGTTTTCTTTTTAAATAACTGTAGCCCAACCTTTCCAAATTTGTTTTGATGGGGCTTTCCTCTTTTCAGCACTTAAGTGATACGTAAGCAATTGTAATGCAGAAAAAAAAATCTCGTTCACGTTTCGTTGAACCATCGGAGCACTCGCGTTTCATTGCAGGATTTCTGCATGAGGGAATGGTCCACCTTGTGAAGTGACCATTCCGAGGCAGTGTTCCAATGGGAATACTGCGTTCACCAACCTCTTCATTAAATGAGAATAGGGCGTTCGCTCCAACTATTCCGAATTATGAGATACCCCCTTACACTTCGCTGATTATGCTCAATAGAGGGCGCACTGTATCTGTAAACGTGTATTTCATAACTGCCAAAATTTTAGTAAGACTGGGTTGGGTCAAAGGGACACACGTGCCTGTCAGAAAACACTTTGAGAAGGGATGTAATTATGGTGGTACTAAGCTTTGTTTACATGACGTGTGCTTTCCTAAGGCAGTAAGACGACACAGGATCCATCGATCTACAGTAAGAGCGCACGCACTATGTAAACAAAGCCTGACGTTTTAGGTCAATGGAAAATGGAGTATAGACTGGTACTCGATATACTTACAGAAACGTGCATCGCACGTGAACCAGTGGCCGGTCATCGTGTCCTCCCGCAACTCTCGCAATTCCAACACTGAAATTTTCAGATCATTCGAAACTTCAAATGTATAGAAACAAATTCCTCCCACTTCGACTGCACATTTAATTCATTTGTACATATTTTTTTTTCAATTTCCTCTGTTGTAAGAAGGAAAAGGTTTCTTTAACCTATCGTTGCTTTCAAATTTCAAATAAAAAACCGAATCGAATGGAAGTTAAAGCTGAAGACAGTTGTGCGATAAAACAAAATCAGACAAACAATCTAATATAAATATAGCCACATTGTTGAAAGCCAATATGAACAAAATCTTTCAGACATGGGATAAGCAAACAAAACTAATCCGTTATCGGGCCAGGTTCAATCCGGATTTACCCTGGTTTTCGAAAAGATCCGATTCCCAACAAACACTTTCTCGTCGCATTTTAGTATTGCTGCGGTCTATTATTGATTCTTGGATTTGAAGCCAAGCTATTTATGCAACTTGTGGTACCGGGATATGCCTTACAATGATGATCTGCTATGGAAGCCATCGAAAGATGTATCATTGGTCAACATGGACGAACTTCAGCTGTCAGCAAAACTCGTAATAATGGTAAGTTACAATCCTGGACAAATCTCGTTGGGCCTCCAACCCAAACTCATTTTAATGAACGAAAAACATCAAGTTTTGCACAGTTACGGGCAGATACGACATGGTGCATCGTCTACGATGCACTCCTGCAAAACAGTTGTGATTGTACACGCACAATACAAAATAGATGATTGTCTTGCTTTTTCTTGTACAATTTGCCTGAAATATTCATTTGTTATACTTTTTTGCCATGGTTGTAGACTATCATCATTCTGATTTATGGTGTGGGCTATAAAAAGTGACTGGCGAGAAAATGCAAGTATTAATACGAAGAAGCGCCCTGTCGTATTCAAATCAACATTTCACACCACTGAAAATGCAACTTAATAAGGTCTCGATGTTGAAAATGAATTATAACATGACAGAAAAAGTGCTTGTTCAACTACATTTTTTAAGAGAAGGAATTTGCAAAGAAGTTCTCTTCACAGGACAATGCGCATAAAGAGCCATTCACCACACATCAGATCCACTACACATCACTTTATTTAGCAGAGCTATTGGGTTCCTGATTCGGCTGTCATGTTATGCTAGTAAAGGAAACGAGAGAAAACGACCCCCCCCCAAAAAAAAAGGGAAGGGGGAAAAATGGCGTGTCATTCACAAAATACTATGAAAAAGTTGTAGACAGGTGTATAGACGTGGGCCAGAGGCTTGCCCATATTGATGCGCGTTCATTTAAAAAATAGTAAAGAGAAGCTGTCAGGGAGAACATTTAATGTTGACGACAATCGTTTGTGTGAATGTGTATTCACTATGTAATGCACTATTGTAGCGTTTTAATTACTCAGTCTTTGCACGGCAACATTCTGTGCAGTAGGTTAATGATTTTATTAACACCTTAAAATGAACCGCGAGTACTATCTCTGAAATGGCCGAGTGGTTACGCTTGCGATTATCAAATCGTTAGATGGTGGGTTCGAATCCCACAGGTGGCTTTTTATTTTCCCAAAGCTCACTTCCGGTCAGTAGCTATAACAGACTCTAATTCACCCCATCAAATACCAACAGTACCTTAGCCTACTGGATAAGCTCTGCGGTTGGGACTGTCCGC